AATATCTCTTGCTCCTCCTACGATCGCTTCCACATGGAGGTCTACTCGTACTCATAAGACCACTAAGCTCCTAGATTTTGGATATTTTTCTTACTCACCAACATCTGTATCTTTTATTGCCAATATACACTGTGTCACTGAACCAACGTTATACCAAGAGCGTGTCTCAGATCCTCTTTGGCAGAATGCTATAGCTGAGGAGCTTACATCTCTTTATCAGATTCATAAGTGGGATATGGTTCCGCTCCTACCAGGAAAAGATACGATTAGTTGTCGATGGGTATATAAGATAAAAACCAATTCTAATGGGTCCATTGAATGTTATAAGGCCAGACTCGTTATAAAAGGATACCCACAAAAGTATGGTATTGATTATGAGGAAACTTTTGCTCCAGTTGCAAAAATGACTACCGTTCGCACTGTGATTACTATTTCTTCTATTTGTTAGTGGAAGATCTTCCAAACGGATGTCAAGAATGCATTCTTGAATGGTGATCTTCATGAGTAAATGTACATGTCTCCTCCCCCTAGGTATTGCTCACCATGCATGTGAAGTTTGTCAGCTTCAGAAAGCTTTGTATGGTCTCATACATGCCCCTTGTGCTTGGTTTGAGAAATTCACTACGTTGATTACTTCACTCGGTTTCAACCATAGTAATCATGATTCAAATCTATTAATTAGATGTACAAGTACATGAAGGATTCTTATCCTTATATGTTAATGACATGATTATTATTGGTGAAGATCATGATGGTATAGAGTCCTTGAAGTGTGATTTGGCTTATTGCTTTGCTATGAAAGATATGGGTGATGTGCACTTTATATACCTATCTAGCTTTAAATTTATAAACCTAACTACTTAGCTAAATTATGCACTTATAGACAGTGTACCTAGTCAAATTATAGAATAGCTTGGTAAGTCGGGTCTCGATCACAGAGAACTGTATTTAATTAATAAAATAAGTACTAAAAGCTAAACTAAGAAAAAAAACTAAAAGTGGGGGTTTTATCTGATTTTACAAGTTCAAAAAAAACTTCAACTAAAATACCTAATTAATGACTAAAAAGACGATTTAAAACCAAGAATAAAAGATACTCTCGTTTAGCTTTGAATCCCTCCTTTTCCTATGGTTGATTTCATGACAATGGATTAATTATGTAAGTTACCAAATAAAAGTTACTAGTCATAATTGTCAGACTAACTAGCATAAGTCAATTTAACAACTTTAACCCCAATGATCATGCAAGTTAAGGACTCTAAATTGATGTTAAAGGTAATTTGGACTCTGAATGATAGAATCTTCAGACTACTATTCTTTGGTCAAGTCTAGTAATCAAGTAAAAATTATGATCAAATACTACTCTCTAAGACAATTAAGCAACTAACTTATCACCTATACTAGGATATGACTAATCATCAGCTCTAACAATTTAATGATCATAAATAGCTAGGTAAATCAGTTTCATGCAATTAACTGCATTTTAACTACATAATCTTGAGATAAGGAAATAAAGATAGAAACTTTAATAGGTTAGGTTTAGATTTATTAAACAATATTTAAAGCTAAAACTAACTTCATCAATCCATCAAACAAGAAATCAACACATAGTAATTAAGAGTTCATCTAATCTAAACGAAAGCAAGGGTTTTTAGCCCATAATCACAACTGGAAAACACATAAAAAAAAGGAAGACTAGGTTAAACATGATTAAACTAAGCAAACCGAATGTGTAGATGCGAATCCTTACTCCAATATCTTTATCATTTGATCTCTAGTCGAATTCTGCCATCAAAGGGCTCTTAGAAGGGTTTTTCTTCATTAATTGTCGCAGCCCTAAGGCCTCTACCCTCTGGAATCGACCTAATGTCCAGAATAGCTTAGTGGATTGCCTCCAACCATGAGCTGAAGGCCAAGATACTAAGGGCGGAACAACTTTACTCTGAAGGCTGTTATTTGTATGTGTAGACTAGAAAAGTCTGATTCGTGTCTGATTGTTAGTTTATACGGTTTGGTTTAATGTATGTATGAGTAGTTTATGACAGAGCGATGATAGGTCATGGTCTATAGACTCGTGTTGATGATGGAACAACAATATGTTGTGACTCTAGATACACACATTATTGTTAGGAAAATGAAAGGTCGTGAACCACTGTTTGTACGTATAGTATCTGTTTTGTGACATATGGTATCTTGGGGAACTCAATAAGCTTTGGTGTATAGTTGTTGATTAACTTTTTTGCAAATACTTCTTTAGATCGTAGGAAGTGTAAGGCTTAACTGTACACGCACGTCAACATCATGTTTGAGAATTCCACATGTTTATTTGATACTCTGATTTAAATATTTAGGACTATATTTTGACAATGATTAACAAAAGTGATTTTTATATTACCTTTATATTTTACAATTTTGAACAAATAATTTTTATATTACTCGCAATAGCACATACTATTCAGGGGACTCTATTCAAATCTATGGATCTCCCCAGCATCCAAGCGAGACGCCATCAAAATCTGCCACTCGTTGGGCGACGCCTTCTTTTCTACGAACACCCCACCACTGAGGGTTAGATTCCAGACCCCTACTGACGAAGAGGTCCTTATCCTTTTTTGATGAAAGTTGTGAACCCACTCTCTAAGCGTTGGGAACGAGTATTATCCATATACTCTACCATGAAAAATGAAACTTTTAGTATGGAAAAATGGGGATGTTAATATATATATATATATATATATATATATATATATATAATAGATATATATATATATATATATATATATATATAGTATAGATCTTATTATTTTTCAAGTTTTAGATCTTATTATTTATCGGGAAAAAAAATATAAAAATATAGAAATTCATAACTTTTTATCTTCTTTCCATTGGTATCAAATTTGATATATATATATATATATATATATATATATATATATAGATATATATATCTATGTATATATATATATATATATACATATATATATATTATATATATATATATATAGATATCTATATATATATATTACATTTTCAATCTGTTCAGATTCACATTGTGAATCTACACTATAAGTCATTAATTTTGTATAAATTCACTGTATGAATCTGCACATATTCCAGTGTGAATCTGCACAGATTTCACAGGGTGAATCTGTACATATTCACAATGTGAATCTGAACAAATTCACAGTGTAAATCTGAACAGATCAATATATATATATATATATATATATATATATATAGATAAGATATATATAGATATATATATATATATATATATATATATATATATATATATATAGAGAGAGAGAGAGAGAGAGAGGTAGGTTCAAATGTTTCTCACATCTATTGTGTGCTAGAATGCACAAATAGGAATTTAGTGATAATTATATGTATATTAAATGTTATACATACTTATCACTCATTTTTATGGAAACTAATTAAATTCGTCATTATTAACAATAATATTGTTTCAGAATGAATTCATATCTAGAAGAATGAGAGTGTATTCCAGCAGAATAAGAGTGTATTCTAGTAGAATACACTCTCGTTCTTCATATTCAATTCAAATTTATTGTATCTTAAGTGAGTGAGTCCTGAAACAAAATACGAACTCGTATATAAAAACCTAGATACGAATTCATTCTGAAAGAATGTTATTGCTGACATTAATGACGGATTTAATTAGTTTCCATAAAAAGAGAATTATAATTATGGATATCATTTAATATACATATAATTATGGAAATCATTTAATATCTATATTTATTTAATTAAATAATTATTTAATTTACTAAATTCCTATTGATGCATTCTAGCACACAATAAATGTAAGAAACAAAATAACCTAGCCCTATATATATATATATATATATATATATATATATATATATATATATATATATATATATATATATATATAATATATATATCAAATTTGATATCAATGGATGGAGGATAAAAAGTTATGAATATCTATATTTTTAGTTTTTTTTTTGATGAAAAATTTGCTCTAACAGTTGAGAAAAAGATTGGTTCCTTGGTTCTAAGGTTTAAAATGGTTCCTTGTTGAACTCAACCCTATATACATACATACATACATACATACATACATACATACATGTCCTCCCTAATAAATAAAGATATTTTTGCCACATGTCACATTCTCATCTATTTTGTCACATGTAATTTTGTGGTTATTTTAAATTAATTTTTATTCCACATGTCATTTTATGTTTTTTTTTTGTTTTATTAAATTCCAGATAGTATTTACATGCAATAATAAATGTGTATCAATTTCATTAATGAACTTTTCTTTTAATTTTAAAATTACTAAATTAAAGATTCGTTAATTTTATTTTTTTTATTATCTAAATTATTTGTTTAAATTTAAAAGAGAAAAAAACACTTTAATTTTTATAATTAAATGTTTTCTTACTTTTTTTATAAATTCAAACTTCTCAAATGTTTAAAATTATGTATTTAGTTTTTCTTTTAAATAAACTCATTTAATACATGGGTCTCACACCGAGTATATATATATATATATATATATATATATATATATATATATATATATATATATATCTATATATATATATATATATATATATATATATATCTAGAGAGAGAGAGAGAGAGAGAGAGAGAGCTAGAGCTAGGTTCATTTGTTTAAACTAATTATTGTGTTATTGTATGTATAATTGTGGGCCAATCAAAATTAAATAGAAAATTAAATAATTAAATAAATAAATAAGGGTAATTTAGTAATTTGTTTAGTAACTTCCAAAAATAATCCCTATAATCATGGATCCACTTAAATGATTAGGGTTTTTAAACCCGTGTTCCTTTTGATCGGGCAAAGATGGACGAAGGCAGTTCAACGAGCGCCCACAAGAGAGAACGTCAGCACTTGAAACGAATTCAATTGCAAGCCAATCGGAACGTCGTCCGGAAAACTATGATCTCGGCCGTGGCTCCTCCTCCCTCGCGGTGGCCTAGTCATGCCTCCATCCACGACAACCAGTTCTCCTCCATGGGCATACATCACATACGCCGCTCCTGAATTCCGCGTTCCCCATGCATACGAGTCACGGGCTGCTCAATCGTCGGCAATCGGTGGTGTAGGGATGTCAAGTTTGACAGGTGTTGAGCATAGTTATGTCGGGCCTCTGTTCACTAGGTCCTCCAATGGGGATAGGGTGGCCAACTCTGGTGACATAGACTTGCATCTGAGCCTTTAAGCTAAGCAGCGTCTTACTCTCTTCGTCTTGGAGCCTCGTCATATATAGTTCTGTAAACTCAAGCTAAGAGAAGCTAATTAGCTGTTGATAAATTTCACGGAGACTCAAGAAATCGGGTGCAGGAATCGTTTGGGGGTGTTGTCGATTGGTGGAAGCCGAGGTTGTGTTTCCGGTGAAGTTGAATCAACAGGTTTATAACAGGTTTTTCTTCTTCTTATTTTGACTGTAAATCCATGAAGTTGAATCAACAGGTTTATATGGGTGTTTGGGTTTGACTGTTTGACAGAAATTCGATGGGTGTTTGTAGAAGTGATTGAGTTTGTTGTTTTCACAGGGATGGGAGAAGAACACGAATGGGAAACTGCCCTGGTCTTGCTAGAAACAAAGAAGAAGAAACACAGAAGTGATTTGATTTTTTTTAATCCGATCAATATTTTTCATTTTTTTCCAGATTAAGATTTTGATTCTTGTTGGCTGTTTGTCCAGTTCAAGTTTCTCTGTTGGTTACGAGGTTTATTGCTTTACTTGTTTGATTGAATTATTTTTCTTTCGAGCTTCGTATTCGAGTGAATCGATGTTTGGTTAGATTCGATTTTTGATATAATGAAGTAACATGAAGCTCTGTTCGAGTTAATTTTCACTTAGGGTTTTTTCTTTCCGTTTTTGTTTGTTACAGGAATCGATAACTCAGCTTTATAATTCCAATTCAAGTGGAATTGGGGGGTTTTGAGTGATATGGAGATCATCTGTGTTTCTTTCAAATGGTCTGATTGATGCAGCAAAGGGACTGATTCAAATGGTCTGATTCATATTTCAATTTATGTTTTTTTTTTTTTTCTGATTTAACACTTCATTTATGTGGACAGTGCAGGATCTTGACAAGGTTGAATTCTGAAAAGGTATCAAGTATGTTTATGTAGATGATTCAATGGATGATATTGGTGACATTTTAATTCTATTGGAATAGAATCACGTATTCCAATTCTGTTGGAATGGAATCACGAATTCCAATTCTGTTGGAATCACAGAAGTTGATGCTTGAAGAACGAACCACAAAATTGAAACGGACCACATTATTCTTTTAGAATGTACTAGACAATGTTAGATTTTGATGTTTTCTTTCCCGTTTTGAAAGTTTTTTTAGTTTTATTCTTTACCAATAAATGTAATTCTTAACAATTGTTACCCATATTCTATAAGAAATAATGTATTTTTTGTTTTTATTCTTCAATTGATTGTTCAAGAATTTGTTATTCTACAAGAAGTTCTTAAAGTCATGATCAAGAAATAGTTTCAAGAATATTTTTATTATTTATTGTTCAAGAATATTTTTATTTTTGTGTAAATAATTAAATAAATAAACATATTCTGTCAGAATGTCCGAATTAAAATAGTTATAATTCGTAAAATCGGATTTTTAAAATTAATAGAATCTATGATCCCTTAAAATATGCAATTTTCCTTTATTAAATCTATACTAATTGACTAAAATACCTTTATAATTAAATTAGATGATATTTTTCAATTACATTTAATTCAATAATATATATTAATCACTTTCTTAAAATAAGTAAAATTGATTGGCCCACAGTTATGCATACAATAACACAATAATTACTTTTAATAGAATAACCTAGGCCTATATATATATATATATATATATATATATATATATATATATATATATATATATATATATATATATATATATATGAAATGATATTTAAGACGACGTTGAATGGTATAAGATTAACTATTAAATTGCAATAAATTTGTTGTCCACTAAGTTTGTTAACAGAAATACATGTACCAACAATAACATATATTATTTAATTTCCTAATTAAATATGTTCAGTAAATGAACTTTCACATAATTTTAACTATATATATAGGATATGAGGTACATATCCATTCGGCAAGAGTTGTTTAAACACTTATAAGCTAGAAAGCATGACACCATATCCACCTTGCAAAGGATACGGTCACTGTAGCATCCAGGTGTGGCCATAGTTGTTGGGGGTGGCTAAAAAAGGAAGCATGTTTGGCAATTGAGAAATCAAATCCGTATGTTAGAGCTATCCCACTCGCACCAAATGAGATACCTATGTGAGTCAACTGTTGCAATTGGGTTTTGGTATTTGTTGATAAACATGGTGTTGTTGTGATCGAAGTCCCTATGATTGGATGAGTTGATTGTGAAAGATGTAATTATAATATCTAAATAAATGGTTTTTATAATCATAATAAATAAAGTTGCAATATTTTATAAAGTGAACTAGTCATTTATTTTTTGTTTACAAAATTAAGATGATTTATTGCCCTCTATTGGGCCATGTATTTATACATCAACAAACGTTTGCACTATTCTCGATCCTTATAAACATGATACACATTACCTAAAAAAAGACAGGAAATTTATTACAAAAGTTAATAAAAATTAATATTTTGGTGCCTAGCTAATTCTCATTTTAGATTATATGTCAACTAGGCGAATATCTACGCGTTGTGCGGAATAAAATTATATAGTTAACCTTTTAGTAATCATATGTCGTTGAAAATATTATATCATTTATATTAACTTAAAAATAATTATTATTACATTTAGACATATAGTTATTGTAACATTATAATTAATTTGAACAATAGATAATATAACACTTACTAAATTCGAATCATTTAATGGTATCTACTCACGCTTTAGTGTGTATAAAATTAGTTATATTTTTCTCATCTATTTTAATTAACTAATGTTATGATTTATTAATTTTTAAAAAAATTGACGACGTTTTAATTTCATCATGATAATTATTTAAATTATCAATCATTGTTTGTGATGTAACATAATTTAATTTATAACTTTATGTTATTTAACGATTATTATTGTAAATTAATTTAAAAACAACTTAACTGAATTTCAGTTATTACAAAAAATAATTTTTGGAGATCTTTTAGTTAATTTTACTTTTAGATTTATGTTATTTTACGTTTATTGTATTTAATATTTTCCTTTTACCTCTTGTAAAAAAATATACATTGAGGTTTTTTTTTAACTTTATTTGATATTTTACTTTAGGTTTTAAATTTTACACTATTTTTTAAGTTTGTTTGATATATTAATTTCGGTTATGTATTTAACACTATAATGGAGACATATTTTTATCTTAAATAGTAAATTAAATTTTTTGTATCTTTGGTATTATTATAATTATGTAGAACATATGATAATAGCGACATTTTTTATAAGGTTAAAACTTAAAATTGTATTAGTTACAGGGTTATAAAACTTCACTAACTCAACCAAATACTCGACATGTTACTTGGACTCGGCCTCCAATCGAGGCAAGTTTGCCTAACTCAGTCAAAATACATTCAGATATTAATCAAACTCGATCCAAATCTAAAAAATCCAATCCAAAACCATTTTCGAAAATCTAAAACTTAATTGGTCACTTGTCAACAAAGACAATCTCACGAAAGAATACCCTCAACATCCTACAAAGGTAGACACAATGAAGATCTAATGGCTTAACCTCTTTGAAATATTTCACAACATTTCCTATTTATAGAGAAGGAGGCATCACCTTATTTACTCTCACCATCGATGTGGGATGGAAACATTTTAAACAAACTCCTTTCTTTATTTGCCAATTTAATTTTGTTAAATAAAATAATAAATAAATAAATAAGCGTTATCTAAAAAAATATTGTTTAAAAGTTCCATTTTTCAATAATCTCGTAAGTTGCTATCTTAAAAAGTAAGATTTTATTGAATAACTTTTTGTAAAATCTTAAAATCATAAATCCAGTTAGGTACTTAATATTGAAAGTTTGTTTATATGTTTTTTGATGATTCAAAAGTTCATTATAAAATGAATTCATTTATAAAATATAATCAAGTGTATATTTCGTGCTTTTGAATCAAAGTGATTTTTTAAACAATTATAATTTTACGTTTAGGTAGATGTTTTTTTTATAATTATATAACATTATGTAATTAACTTATTTATAATATTATTAGAAACATTTTGAAAGAGTTTCAAATTTATGTGGTGAAAGAAAAACGTTTCCTTTATCGGTCCAAATTGATCAAACCCGGACTGATTCAATTCACTGTACCCAACTATGTAACGTTTTTTTTTTCTACTGAAATTCGGTTTTAACCAGAAAAAATCTGGTCCTAAACCATTTCTAGAATTCTAAAACTTAATTGAACACTTTCCAATATAGACAATCTCAAGAAAGAATACCCTCAACATCCTATAAAGGTATGCATAAAGAAGTTCTCATTACTTGTTCCCTTTGAAACATTTCACAACCTTTCTTATTTATAGAAGAGGAAACATTCTCTTGTTTACTATCATCATCGATGTGGGATGAAGACATTCTAATAAAATATCATTTCTTGTTTATAAAAGATTATTCAATTTTTTTATAATATTATTATAAAGAAACTGAAAAGTCATGGAAGTTTCAAATGGATGTGGTGGAATGAAAAATGTCTCTTTTATAAGTATACTAGGCTAATGCCTGCGCGTTGCGCATAAACACTTATATAGTTGAAGTCTTTACAAATATATGTTTTTTTAAATATAACAATAACGTTGTTGTTAAATTTGATTTAATAATACGTATACTAAATTGATATAATATATTGATTATTTTGAATTATATGATAAAATATACATCTATTATAACTACATAATCTCAATCGTTTGAATGACTTCTACCCGCGGGTTACACATGAATAAAATTAAATATAATATATGGTTTAATGTTATTTATAGTTGTTGTTATTGTTAATTAATTTTTTAAAATTTATTTGCTTAATGTTTTAATTTCTATCATTATAATTATTTAAAACATCAAACATTGTTTTTTATTTTAAAGGTAACAATATAATCATTTATATATATTATTTTTAGCTATTGTTATTGTAAGTTATTTTAAGTTACTTATTTGAAAACTTTTAACGATTATAAAAATATTTTTAGGAAATATTTTAGTTAAATTGAGATTACAATTTAGTTTTTGCACTTATCACTACAATTTATCACTTTTAACTATTTACAAAATATTATTTGGTTTTTTAAGTGGAACTGAAATTTATATTTAAGTTCACGCTGTAATGTTATATTTAAATTAACAATTTAAGTATTTTGTCCAAACTGTTCAAAAGGTTTAGCTTTAAACTGATAATGCTTTACATACAACAACATATTAAATCTAATAAATTAATTATAATATGTTAATAGTTAAAGACATAACTTTATAAGTAGAAATAAAGATATTATTTTAAAACTTAAATTTAGTTTATTTATGATTACACTTTAGGTTTGATATTTATTTAACCTTATTAACCAACTTATAATCATTATTAGAAAGACACTACAATTTATCATTTTTAACT